GTTCGCTGCCCCGACGAAGGTAATATCCCTTTCCCTAAGTTCTTTTTCATCTAGTGTTATTGTTGTGTTGACATTTTCAATTTTTGTGTTCATGTTGCCGCTGTTTATTTTCGAATTTCCTTAACAAAGATACAAAGTTATGGTTTTAACATTTGAATATGGCTAAGTGTTACTCTTCTCGCTAGTGAAATAGTTATTGGTATTATCTACTGTTTGTTGATGTAGTAGCTCGTCTTATCGATTTTTATTTTTTTATTTTTTTTCAAATCTCGTGTTTCGTCTTATTGTTCACCATGTCATGTTAGAGTCGTGCTTTGGTTTAGATGTTAGTCGCTAATTCATTAGGTTTGATATAACTTAGTCATGCTCTAAGGTCTATTAAATCTCTGTTATTCTTCCCAAAGCTTGTTGTTATATTGTGCATTGTTGTTCAAAATTGGCAAAGTTGATGGTTAGAATCGGTCACTGTCCGACTTTTATATTATGGTAATATGGAACTAAGTTTGTGCATTAATAAAGTCACCAAATGCTAGTGCTTCAATTCCTCATCCTCATGTGTTTGTTTCCTCGATGAGATCCTTGTGCAAACATTTAACTATGCTTATGTGTATGTCTAAATTCTATAGTTAGTTGGTTGGAAATATGATTTAACTAAGTTCAAATTAACTGGTTTGTGATTAATTCCCTCCTTTAGTTTGTATAAGTTTAATTTAACATGGGTGATTGGAACTTTTCCTCATTCATGCTTGAATTGTCTTAGATAGTGTGCTAACCATTTCAAAATACTTTTGGTTACTGCCTTCACTTATTAATATTGTATGTATATTTAAGTTTATTGTTTTCACATACATTAATTAGGTACGTAAGCTTAAAGTTGAATGTGCTTTTTCTCTTTGCTAATTTGTCTTCTTTTTGTGTTTTGTTGCGAATGTCATCCCGAGTCCATTGGACTCTCATCCCACTGCATTTTTTATTTTGGGGCCATGGTGGCCTAATTATCTCCTTAAGTCTGCCACTAAATGGATCAAGATTGGGAGCTGAAATATGTCTCGGAAAGCCCAAAAAGGGGGTTGTATACAACTATATACATCGACATACAACTCAAAAATGCAAAAACACAGGGCCAAGTGAAGTACATGTGTTTGGAAACAGGAGATACATGGAAAGAGCTGATATACATGCCGATATACACTGATATACGGTCAATGTATACAAAAACGGGATTGGCTTAAACCCCAAAAATTTCAGCAAAATTGGCCCAAAAAGGGGGCCCAAATTCATTTCTCCTTTATCTTTAAATTATTTAATTGTCTTTTATTTATTGTTTGTTTTTTTCTATCATTAACTCTAACTTAGAATTGTTAATTAGCTTAATTAAATTCCCCAAAAGATGAGTTATTTTCTTTGTGTTGGTTTAATTTTAATACATTTCATGTTTTTGTGTTCATTTATTTTAGTGATCAAGTATTGGTCAAAAATTTATATCTTCAATTAAGTTAAACATTTTGTACTTAAAAGAGATGTTATTTAATGTTTTTTTTTTGCTTAATCATATTTTACTCATTTTTAAAATTGTTTTAAGTTAAAGTACTTTTCTCAAATAAACTTTAAAAATGTTAGTCAAAATCTTTACAATTAATTAAAAAATAATAATGCTCACTTAGTCTTTTTCTCAAAAAGTTTAGTCAATTAATTCAAAATGATATTCATGCTTTAATTTATTAAATTGGTTAATTATTATTTCAAAATGAATTAAATAAATTCTAATTAATCTAATTTTATTAATATTCTAATCACTTGTATTTCGAGTCAAATATTTCATTTTTGGGTCCCCTTCTCTAAAAAATAAAATAAAATAAAAAATAATGCGTCATTTATTTAATTATTTTCTCAAAGTTAATCAAATATTATAAATTATTATTTCTTAAAGTTAATCAATTATTGTAAGTTATTATTTTTTATGTTAAATCGTTATTTTCCTAAAAATAGTCAAATATATTTTAGTCAAGTCGCAGGTCAACCGCATGTTAGCGGGCACTTCGAATGCTTAAACCCTTCTCGAAGTGTAAATTGAACCCTGAACCCTCTTTCGGTATTTTCAAATGATTTTTTCTGTTTAAATCTTTGAAAATTATAAGTTTTCTTAATTTCTTTAAAAAATTAAGTGGCGACTCTTTTCTAAGTATTTTTCTCAAATTGTTTTATTCTTAGAACATTTCAAAAAGTGATTTTTCTAAAGGTTAGTTAAATTACGGCACAACAATAACCATTGGACGTTTCACGGTATGAATTGCCATCAACATATGCATTATAGTTGGTTTAGGAGATCCCAAGCCCAACTCTGTCAACATAGCAAGCGTCGTTAATACCTTGGCACCTTGGGCCAGGTGGGGCTGGGCCGTCCTTTTTTGACAACTCTAATCTTATCACATCAATTGGTAACAAATTTTTTCGGCACAATTTTTTGTAAAATAAATGTCTCGCGTCTGATGGCAATAAAATATGTAGCACAAGTGGGTAGTATAAAAGAGTGAGAGGGCAAATCTTTAGAGATGTGATTTTTAATTAAATTATTTAATAATTTAATTGCCATTAATAGTAAATAATCTATTAATAAGTGTTTATTATTTATTGTATGGACATATTTAAAATAAAGTTTAATTATTTGACGGATTTGTGATAAACTTATGTGTTTTTAGTTCATCACTCTTTGTGACTGATTTAACCTTTATTATATTATGTAGTTATGCGACTAGAATGACCAAAATGCAAACAGTAAGGTATGTTTGGTATGAAAGGAATTTTCAATTTTCTCATGTTTGGTTGGGTTAAATGTTTTAGAAAATGTTTTCTAAATCAACTCATTTTTCTCAAATTTAAGGAAAATGACTTTTCTTCAAAACTTAAGAAAAACATTTTCCAAAACTCTCTTCCAACTTCAAATTACAATTTTTTTTTTGTTGAAAAAACAATTTATTTCCCCTAACCACCAGCCCCCCCCAAAAATAAAAAAAAATAAATTAAAGCTTGTTTTTAAAAAATGTTCTTAACTTCAATTTTTTTACTTCACCCTCACCCCTACCCCCCCTCCCAAAAAAAAATATTAAAAGTTGTTTTTAAACAATATTTCTAATTTCAATTTTTTACCACTCTTTCACCCCGATCCTCGATCACCCTCCCCCGCCCCAAAAAAAATAAAATAAATTTGAGTTTGTTTTTAAAAAATATTTTCAACTTCAAAATTTCATTTTTTTCACCCCTACCCTCGACCCCCTCTCTTGGAATCTTCATCACCATATTGTCTTGATTTTACTAAATTGACCTGGCAAAACATCCAACTAATAACATTCCTTGAATCATCAATTCAAATCATATGACAAAATGGCGTACTATATATATAATATTATCCCGTTTTAATTTATGTGGTATTGTTTAATTTAACATTTTTTTAAAAAAAAAAAGAATAGTTTTGAAATTTATGGTCTAATACAAATCTTAGATATATTTCTGATTGTGATTCATTTCATTGACGTTAATAGTTAAATTATTTTTAATCAATATAAAATATGACATTAAAGTATATCATATATGTTGAGACTATGGAGAATTACTTCTATTTGAGAAAATAAGTTTTGCTTTTCAATTAAAGAGTTATTTGTTGGATGGTCACTCGTATTTTGAGAATTGTCTATAAAAATTACTTGTGTTTCTTTTAGAATAAAAATATCATTCATCTATTTCTATTTTCTCAAGAAAATATACTAAACACGTCGAAGACTTTCTTCTCTCTTAACTGACATTTTATGAAACAAAAGTAATTTTAATATGCAATTGACGGAAATTAACTCCAAGAATAAAAATATAGATGATGGAGAAATATACAATTTCATTTTTGAAATTATTCTAAGAGAAATAAAATCTCAAAATCTCAAAAAGAATGTAAATCATCTATTTATAGAAAGTTTGTGAAGTGTCGATCCGAACCAAAGGATAAATTATCATAGTAATATATTGTTCCATCTATTTTAATTTATATAATCTATGTAATTTGACTAAACATAAATACAGTTCAAACTGTTGTGAATGAATTTCAGAAGACTTTTTTCAAACTTGCCTAGTCTAATAGACAAAAACTAATTCAAAATAATTTCCAAATATAATTTCAATATTTTGAAACAAACCCTATGGATAAAAAAATGAACTTCATTTCAAATTAATAGTCTTAGTAGGCGCATGACTATAGATTTCAAATATTTTTTTTATTTTAATTAGAATTTATGGAGGAGTAAAAAATATTTGTACTTGATTATACTTTTTATAAAAATGTTTGAAATAATATTCATACTTGAATGTGCTTAAATACAATCCAAAAATTGAAACATGAGTTGGAAAACATGTCATAACCTATTTTCAAATTTGAAATACAACTTCAAGTTGAATTTAAAAATTTTCATAGCCAAATATAAGTTTTCACTTTAAAAACAAAAACTATCTTCTTAAAAATTTCACAATAAAACATGACCAAATGCCCACGAAACTTTAAAAAACTTTTTATGTAACGCCCACCGGCCACACATCATCTTCTTTGAATCTAACTCGTGAGATTTTTACCATATATGTTGTTAGTGTTGTTGTTTCAATGCGTACTCATAATTTTTCAACTTTTATAAACACTCCATGTCCAAAAAACTAGCAAACATTTTTTTTAACTTCCATAAATTCTCTATCTAACTCTAAATTCAAACATTGTTTTCAAATTCAACTCGATTCATATGTACTAAAAATAGTATAAGCTCACATTTCATTCCTTATTACCAAAATTCATTTCTATTAATATAAAATAATCTGTCCAAGAAAATAAATTAGCTTATGTATCTTCATATGATTGGTCGTCTGAAGTCCAATTCAAACAGGCCCAACCTTGACCGCTCCTCTAAATCGAATCGGGTATATATATTACTTCACATTCACATTTTTCACAATAACGGCTTTCTTCTTCTTCTTCTTCTTCTTCTTCTTGTTTTCTTGAGAAGAGGGAGATGAAAAATTGTTGATAAGGGTTTAATTTTTCGATTTCTTTTTACATTAGAAGGAGGATATGACAACGACCCAGAATAGGCGTTCGTCAGTTTCGAGTGCGGTGGCGAAGAGACAAGCAATGGTGGCGAATTCATCGGGGTTGGAGAATAATCAGGCCAGAAAATTGAATGCTGGAGCGGCCATGAAACGACCGGAAATTTATAATATCTTGGATTCGTACAACTGTATCTGCTCGTAACGTGATTTCTCATTCCTCCAAACTTGTGAGTGTTTCTCTGTTTTGGTCTCTGTTTATTACTGTAGGAAAATAATTGGATTACTGGGTTTTATCTTCTTTTTTTGTGTATTTTTTTTATTACTGGTTCGATGATTGACCTTTTTGTATGTTGGGTATGGGGTTTCTTGTATAAATTTGTGTATGCAAGGGAAATGTAGGTGGGTTTTGTGATTTCTTTTTTGGGGTTTTTCTTCTTGGATCATTAAATAATTATTTTTTCCTTAATGAACATTGTCTTTGTCTTAAAGTTCAATCTAGAAGCTAGCTTGTTTTCTTAACTGGTTTTAAGATACCTCCATTAATATTTTAGCTTGAATAATGTTTTTTTTGGTTCCTGCTTAAGCTCTTTAACTTCGTACTTGACGCATCTTTAGGCTTAGGTGCTTAGATGTTCTCAATCATGTATCCTTATGTTGTAGGTTTCTCGATTAGTCATTAGTTTAATTGATTAGCAAATCTTCACAATAAATTCATGAGTCACAGCTGGTGCAAGATCATTTCTTATTTGCATTCTTTGGCTTAATAATAATATAGTGTTCAACTTATAAAGAGTTTATTGGATGACATTTGAATAGTCTGTAATTTCTATGGCGAAATGGTTGGTTCACTCTTGACAAACTGATTTGGCCTTATTTGAATCCTTCATGTTTAAATGCTATTGTTTAGAATGTAAAATTTTCTTATATGATTAATTTGGTTATAAGCATGTTTATTTTATTGTCCCTACTTGCCAAATGGATTTAAGTCTTATTTTGATATCCTAAATAGTTGTTGATTGGAACATCCAGTTTGTCTCAATTAATGACTACTTTAAAACGATCAAGTCTTGTTCTCTGTTCGACCAAACTTGAATGTGTTGAGTGATTTAATGGTTGTTCATACTTTTAAAATGTATTAATTTCTGTCCCATTGTTATTTAGCTAATTGTGATATTTTTGATTCATGTAAACTGCATCGAGTCCCTTGTGGACTCCCTCCCTCTTTGCATCTGGAAAAAGGTCACCGCGGAGGCCCAATTATGAATTTTATTGAGTAAACCTCTTCGCGGGGGGGGGGGGGCTTGAGGCAGGGAGTGGGGCCTAGAGGCACGCTGCCTCGGGGCTGGGCAGGGCAGGGCGGGGGAGTGGGGCCTCGAGGCACGGTGCCTTCCCGATTCAAATTGAACATATCTTGTAGAGTCCACAAAATTTTAATGTGTCACATATGTATTAGACAAGTAACACTTTTATCTTTTGAAATCTGAACTTTCATTTCTTCAATGATGCTTAACTCTACGCTCTATGTTTCGATTTACTTATCATATTACTATTTTTTACACATCCTGGTAAATAGAAAATCCACTAAAACAAACTTGGAAGAAGTCAAAGTTTAGCGGACATGGTTCAGGATTTCATTGTCAAACTGTTATGCAACGGTGCTAGTCTCACATCTTTCCTTGGACACAAAAGCATCTTTATCTTCAGTGATATCATCGTGAAAGCAAGCATGCATGCTGGCTCTAGTATAGCAATATGTTTTTCAGTATGATACTCACAACAACTAATATCCCTTACTCTAATTAGATAGAAATTAGTCATATGATTTTTAACATACGTACTAACACATCCAGCACATGAAATAGTCATTAAAGCCACTATAATATTCAAATATATATATTCTCTCTTTATCTTTTCTTGCTATTTATTTTGAATCTCCTGCTGAGCTGTTATTAACTTGTCAGGAAGATATGTTTTATTCTCTTAAATTTCTAAAATGGGAAGTATACAACTGAAAGGTTAACTTTGATTTTCTATTTAAACCTATTAAGAAGTTTTTGTTCTTTACAAATTACACCAGTGAATGACAGTAGCTGTCTAATTCTTCTGTTTTTAAACTAAATAAGGGCATCAGTCTGACTTGTCTAGTGCACATACTTGTTTTGATTCACTCTATTACTTCTGGTACTGTCAAAATTTTCATCAATGCTCAGAGAATAGTATATCAAACACCCAGGAGTTCATGTTTCTTCCTTCCTTTGTTTACAGTATCACTCTTTATGGTGTTTTCTTCATCTTATTGACAATTCAGCAGTCCTGTTTGTTTTCAGCTCTTCTAGTAAACTGAGTAATTAAACAAATTTTTGTCTGCTCTACTAAAGGAAATTTCTGATAGTTTGCATATGGAGGGAAATTTTTGTTTTTGTATTGCAGTTATATATGCCAAACCTTACTTGCAGGTACATGCTCCCAAAATTATAGGTGGGAAAAATGCACCGTCTCCAGTTGGGGAACTTGGAATGGTAGAGATGACCCAGGCTCTGGAACTAATTGATGTTTGCTATGAGAAGGTTTGATAGGCTTCTGCTTTAATTTTTTCTGATTATGTGCATAATAGATGCATGTTCCGCTGTTACTTATCCTCAACCACCTCCCTACACTCCAACAAAACAAAAGAGGGAAAGAGAAATGCATGTAGTGCTGTCTGGTCTGGCTTAATCCTTAATTATGTAGTGCGTGTACGTACAAGTTACAAACTGTGCATTTTTCTCTTTTTGGCCTTATCCAAATTTCTGGTGTTTTCTTATTTGAGTGTTGTTCATTGTCTTTAGTCTTGGTATCCTTTCTGATAAATCCACTGAAGTATAAAAAAACCTTGGTTTTTCTCAATGTTCGATTAAATTCCCTTTTATAGATGTTAATTACACTTAGTCGTTGAATGTTGTTGAATATCTTGCTAACCATGTCTAAGCAACATGCTGTAATAGTTTTCCTTACTTTCTCTTCCTGAAACCCCATTGCTGGGTTGTAAGTAGCCTATTTACAATGGAAGGAATAAAAAAAGCCTTCCTGATATGCCGAATAACCTCCTCGACAAGCTGTATGCAGAAGCTTTTTTTTTTTAGGCTGGTAACATGTGTGTTTGTGAATTCAATGTTCGATTAAATTCCCGTTAATTACACTTAGTCTTTTTTTTTAATATATATATATTAAATAGTAGCACCATAACAGTGCTATCAGTAATAGAAGTGGAACACAAAAAGTGGTCTTTCACCTTTCCTAAGAAGATGAGTCACTCCTATAGTCCTTTTAGATTTCTAAGTACTAGCAAACACAGAAATTTTTAAAAGTTCTCATGTTGGTGGAAGAATCTGCATGTGGTAGCTTCACAAAGCAGAACGATATCAAAATCAAATCAAGTAGAAGGCTGCAGTAGGTTAATGGCTAGTGTGACATAGTCTAAGGTTTGATGAATCATTTCAACTGAATAGGCACAATGTACTCAAAGGATTCATGTAGCCGACCTTAACTAATTTGTGATTGAGGCACAGAAGATTATTCATGTCGATTTCTTACCTTGAAGGGAACTTCAGCTTTCAAAATGAAACAAGCTAAAGAAAAAACAGTCAGAATTTCAGCTTTCATTAAAAGGATAAGTAGGAATTGTAGGACAAATTACTTATTCCCGTGTTACTTCTATCTCTTTCAAATAAATAAAATAAAAATAACTCAGTTAGGTTCCTCATTCAATATCCATGTGCCCTATGCTTGCATTCCAATTACACTATCTTTCTTTCTCTATTTCTCCTTCACTTGGTATTGCTCACATTCATCTCTTGTTAGTGTGCTTAAGTTAAAGGATTTTATTTAGGTGTTTCCAGGCTCAAACTTCCGCAATCTATCTGCCATTCCAAATCTTTGAACTCTTTTTAGCTACTTTTGGTTTGCTAATAAGTTTGTTTAACGAGGGTCACACATTGCACGATGTAGGTACATTGTACTTCCGAACAATGTTTAGCATCCTGTATCACTATGATACTGTCAAGGCTGGTAAAAAAAAAAGGTCTCTATGCCATTAATATCTCATTAATCATGTACCCAAATGCTGAAATTATTTTTCACCTTATAGCAATAAGATGGTCCAACACCACATGACAATTTTTTGTTCATCTTTGTGTTTCTTTTACTTGGTAGAATTGTAAAGTATGAAATAATTTCTAAAAGTTGTGTTTCCTTTCTATTGCTCTATTATGAAGGATCCTTAACGTCAATGGGGCGGGGAAGGGGTCTCGAGGCGCAGCACCTCGAGGTCC